TATCGTTGTATTAACTCTTGCCCCCAGACATGAGACACTTATTGAGTATCCAATACTCAAACATATCATTGTTATTTTTGATAGTATGTTTTAAGTAACATAGAGGAGCAAGTTCAATAGGATCGCGTTAGCTATGAATAACAAATCCAAATTAGTCTAAAAAACTAATCCCATAACTTTTTGACACCTCGATGGCAAAGTCAACCCACACTCGCCCCTCTAGTCAACAATTCAAAATCTAAAATTAAATACATGAACACACTATTCATAAGCCAGGGAGGGATAACTAAAATCCAGTTCTGATATTTATTGCTAAGTCAAATTAATCATTTTCAAATTTTAGGTCTAGGTCTAAAATTCCCAACTTTATCCTTTTAAACCTCTTGATTCCGCCGATCGATACAGTTCAATGAAGTTTACACATATATAGTTTCTAGATCGATGTAATTAAGGAATTCATACATTCCGTTTGGCCATGCGATATGATATCATGATATGATAACATAATATGGAATTATGAGATGAAATTGAAAATTTGTTTGGACATGCGATAGGAAATTTTGTGTTGTATATTTTCTCATTAACATAAGAATCTCATAAGTTGTAAAATTATTAAAATATCCCCAATTATTTATTCAATCTTACCAAATAAACAAAAATTTGTAAAATCGCATGATAAATTATTACATTGCTATTTATTCTCCACTTAAGTAATTGTTTCATCTAACTTTAATTCAATAAAAAAATTGAACATAAATTGTAGTGTACTATTCTTTAATATTACTCAACAATCGGTTGGTGTGAGTTAAAGTGACTATATGTTGGTGAGAATAATAAATTTTATGTCGGTGAGAATAATAAATTTTATGTCGATGAGAATAATAAATTTTAAAAAGTAATGATGTCATTATAAATTTTATTTACATATAACATAGATGGTTAGTAGATATAAATGTAGGGTTGTTTTAACAAAATATTAATTTGTGGATCAATTTTTGTATTAAAAATATCTCAAATCATGATATGGAATTCTCATATCATGGTTTTTGGAGAATATGGAATCATGAGATGGAATCAACGTAAAATCGCATGTCCAAACGTTGATTCCATCTCACAATTCTATATCGTGATATGGTATCGCATGGCCGTACGCCTACTAAATTTGGGGTTGAAACGATCCAAAAGCAGTAGCTCCTAAAATATCCCCGTTATTAAAAATGTTGTTGAATTTTACCAATGTTGTAAATATAAACTAAACGAAAAATGACCAGAAGTACCCTGGAATTTCCGAAATGGAGCAAAAATACCCCTGTTTGTTTTTTTTTTTTTTGCTCAAAACTACCTCTCTATTTGTTGTTTTGGCTCACAAATACCCCTCACTTTAACGGAGTGCCACCAAGCACACCACGTGGATAAAATTGCTACGTGGCCAGTCCATATCAGCATCCACCATGGAAAATCATCCAATTTAATATTCATCAGCCCGCTCCGTTTAAAACCCACCCCAACCCTAAGTCTAGGGATGGCAATGGGGCGGATGCGGGGCGGGGTGTGGTTAAGGCTTTGTGGGGTGGGGCGGATTTAAGGTTGTGCGGGGCGGATGGGATGCGGGGAGGGTTGAAGTGGGTTTTTTTACAATTAATGCGGGGCGGGACGGGTTGCGGATATATGTGATTTTATGAGTGTTCAAATTTAATTTTAACTTTTTGCATGTCGTAACAAGTCCACAATTACAACTTTTTCTACGGGTCTTAACAGAGGATACCTTTCTTAGACCTTGAGATTGATCTTCCACAATTTCAAAGGGAATACACACCACCACCAAAGACACAATACAAAAAATATTTTGTAAGGGGTGGATGCTGATGTGGATTGGCCACATGCCAATTTTTTTCCACATGATGTGCTTGGTGGCAATCAGTTAAAGTAAGGGGTATTTGTGAGACAAAAACAAATGGAGGGATAATTTTGACCCTTTTTCATATACTAAAGACGTCTCTTTCATGTTCGTGATACCGTTAGGCTTATCCTTTCATGGTCACGATCAACACCTTCATGATTGTATAAGAAGTTTGATCGGACTAACCCATTGACTGATTTTCGCAATCACAAAGTTCCTAGATGCGGTCACATTAACAATTCCTCTAAGCCTCCAGAGTAGCAACTTCCTCCCTCGTGGTCACGAAGAAGGAAACAAGAACTAGCAAAGTTTTCAACATCAAAATGAGTTTCAATGATGCTGAAATACCTCGGAGCCCCTTGGGTCCTAATGCAAGCCATGCCAACAAGTTTCAGAAAGTATTATCGACCTATACTAGATCCTAAATTATGATTCAAAGTATAAACAATCAAAAAGAAGTATTGGATTGTTACAACATGTTTTACAAAGACTCGTCCTCGATAGATTGGGACGAGTCGATGATTCTTGCTAGGTCATTATAGCTTACTTACTATTCCTTCCAAATACTATAATTGAAAACTACAATTGATTCTTGAGGATTTGCTGATCGTTCTACCATTGCAATTGTGGTGAGCTATCCACTTCTTCCGTAGAGTATATTTTCATTTGGGAAAAGGGTCTGATATATTTTTCAACTTTGTCATTTAAAGCTGATATACATCTTGTTATGAAAGTGACTCATATATATACACTTATGGTTATACAAATGACATACATATACCCTTTTTCTCTAATGAAAGTGAAAAATTAATTCTAATTTAAGTTTTTAATTATATTTTTGAAAAAATATAATCCATATGGGGTATATTTGATCCTCCTTACATATTTTTTTTTTGATTTTTTTGTTTCAACGACTAATTTAAATTTATTATTTTCATGGTCAAATTTATTTATGTTTCACTAATTTTCTTGTAAAATTTATTCTAGATGCCCCTTTTTTTTACAAATACAAAAATTAAATTAAAATATAGCCGCAAAAAATTAGTTTTAAATTTTTTCTTTACACTAAAGAATGAAAAAAAGAAAAAAGAACAAGAAACTCAAACAATATAATCATAATCAAAGAAGTTAAAAATAATTTTTGTATGAAAAAAGATTAAAATATATCTTGAACTTTGCTAGAAGGATATACATGATTTTTTTTAGAATTTAAAGTAAAAAAATAATTTTAAAACTAATTGTTTCACTTCCGTTAGATGAAGAGTATATGTGAGTCACTTGTATAACAGGTATATATGAGTCACTTTTATAACGGGGTATATTAGCTCTAAATGACAAAGTTGAGGAATATATCAGACCCTTTTCCGTTTTCATTTTATTTCAATTATATGTTATTGAGTTGTGCACCATAAACTTTGTACTGCGATAGTATGAATTGCTATGATTTGAAAACAAAAAATACTATATCATGATTTGCTACTAAATGAAATGTTATTCCTTTGGTGTACGTAAATGCTTGCTAGTGTTAATTACCCCGAGGGAAATTCTTTTTACACTCAAAAGACTTTTACGTTATTTGTAATTAAATGTGTGTTTAAAGACTTCAAACATAACTTCAACTTTTAAATATTACATACCTTTTCTTTTTTCAACCACCCTTCCCCCCCACCCCCTAAGTATTGTGTGACTTACTATATTAAGTAATTTGAAAATTGTAAGTAGGGGTGTTCACGGTTTGGATAAAAATCAATTCAAATCGAAAAATCAAATTAAATCGATTAAATGAATCGATTTATTTATTGTTTGCTTTGGTTTTAGATTTTTTAAAAATCGATAGTATTTGGTTTGGTTATGATTTTACTCGAAAAAAATAGAAGAAATAACTGAACCGAACCAAACCGATAAATAATATACATAAATTTTATTATTATACATACATAATATATTATTTTTATAAATAATTTTAAAGATCTTATATATGTATTCATCAAAATTTATTTATAATTTAATTATGAAAGTAAAAATGCCCAATGTGAGAACATTTATCTTATTATTTTCATATATATATGAGTGTCTATGACAATTCTTTGTGGAACTGAAAATGTCAATGTCTCTTCTTCTACGCCAAAAATCGTGAATTTTGAAGCTTTATTCATAGAAAATTCAATGATCAAAAGTTTCGTAATGTCAGTCATTCTAACTATTTTTTGTTTTGAATGATTTATTGTCACTTTTTTCACGTTTTGAATAAATTATTTCTTTAAATTTTATGTATATGGTTAATAATCGAACCGAAACCGATAAATGTATACTCCCTCCGTTTCACAAAGAATGACCTGGTTTGACTTGGCACGGAGTTTAAGTAAATAAAGAAGACTTTTAAAAAGAGTGGTCTGGTTTGACTTGGCACGGAGTTTAAGTAAATAAAGAAGACTTTTGAATCTTGTGGCCCTCAATTAAAGTTATGTCAAATGTACAAAATTGCCCTTAATCTTGTGGTCTTAAACATGCCACGTGGAAAACAAAAAGTAAAATGTTACCAAAAAATGAAAGAGGTCATTCTTTTTGAAACTGACTAAAAAGGAAAGGAGGTCATTCTTTGTGAAACGGAGGGAGTATTATATTAGGTCTGGTTTGGTTTTGATAATTTTAAAACAAATTAAGTTGGTTTGATTTTGATTTTGATTTTGATTTTGATCAATAACCGACCCAACTGACTAGTGAACACCCCTAATCGTAAGAATATAAAAAACTATTTGAGAAAGCCACAAAAACCATTTATTTCAATTTATGTGACATTATTTCTTTTTTAATTTATTTAAAAAATATGATAACTTAGAAGCAACTTAAGTTAAAAATTATCTTTTTATCCTAATAAAATGATCTAATAGCTATAAAAATATTTAAGATTAGTTTAACAAACAAATTTTAATGATTTTAAATTTTATGTCAGTTCAAATAGTATTTACATAAATTGAAACAAGAGAACTCTCTAAACTAGATACAACTCTGTAAAGTATGCCAAAAGTTGGAGAACCAAATATAGGGTGGCCCGCAGTTTGCCATAGTGAAGCCCATAACAAATAAATAGTGCATTGCCTAGCTTAAACTTTAAGCCGACTGATGGGATTTTACAGAGAGAAAATGAAGGTGAGCGTGGAAGGGGAGAAGGTGATACTGGTTCCCTACATGAGAGAGCATGTGCAAAAGTACCATGAATGGATGCAAGATCCTCTTCTCCTTCAAGCAACTGGTTCTGAACCACTTACCCTTGAGCAAGAATATGAAATGCAACTTTCTTGGACCCAAGACCCTTTAAGTATGTATGTCCTCCAATTTTGGTTCAAATTTTACTTTTTATGCCACTGTATGTTTGAGATATAGTTACCCTTTTGTTATTAATGAAGAAAAATCCTATCTTTGCTAGAATTGCTGCTTTTTTGGAGAGTAATTTGATGCAAATAGATATACTGCCTTTTCATGTTTTTTAAAGAAATAAAAAGATATCTTGGCCTGAATTACTGTTTCTAGCGGAATCAAGAATGCTTTAATCCAAGACCCCTTAAGTATGGATTTCATTTTTGGTTCAAATTTTGCTTCTTATGTCACTGTATGTTTGAGAGATAGTTGCCCTTTTTATTATCGATGATGAAAAACCAATCTTTGCCTGAATTGCTGCTTTTTTGGAGGGTAATTTGATGCAAAAAGATATACTGTCTTTTCATGTTTATCAGAGAAATAAAAAGCTATCTTGGCACCTTAATCGCTGTTTTTTGTTGAATTATGGAGAAATGCCGATTGTCAGGACCAATTATAAGTTTGATTTATAACTTAGCTTGCACACCTTGTACTCTAAGTCAAATGGTAGTACTAAGTGGTGAATTGTTCCTGAACTGTTGCATGCTTTCTTATGCAGCTTTTGGTTGGGACAAAAAAGAATAAATAGTGATGTTCTCGAAATTTAATGGTATTTGGTTGTATTTTCTTTGTATGGTTTCTTACAAAATGTTATTGGAAATTCCTTTTTAATGGCAGAGCAGACTTTTATCGTGTTGGACAGGGAACTAATTGTTGGAAACTTCACTCACGGAGAACCTCATGTTGAAGGTCGCATTCTTGTTTTGAACTTCAATTGATCTAGTTTAATCACTCCATATAGCTTTATTTGACATTGTATTGCCTGGGTCTTACCTATGATCTATGGTCAGCACGGAACCTGTGGTAAATTTATTACTTTGTATGCTCATACTAAGGCATGAGGCTCTTTATATTAGGATCTGAATTTACTGCAACTAGTTGAAATTTTCCTTCTGGAATTCTTACTGGTTTTGCAAATTTTTGTTTTCATAAAGTGGCTTTCACAAGTTTTAGTGGGCAATAATAATTTCAAATGTGTGGGAAGTGGGAACCTGGTTTTTCTGGATTTATATGTGATTCTCAGTTTGACCATGTTGCTTTTTGACAGCCATGGTTGGTGATGTGAACATATACATGAATGACTTGGATGATCCCCAAATGGCTGAAGTCGAGATTATGATAGCTGAACCGAAAAGGTACACATGCTTTAATATCTCTGATTTGCTGCTTTGACTCTCAATGTTGTGTCACTAGTTGATTGGTTCCTCAACTAGTGATTACACCAAAAACGCAGAGTCAAAATGCAATTCAGTTTAACTTGTTGCATACTACTCTCCCTATTCTCAAAATGTATGAAGTGGATGTGAAAATCTAGAATGCCTTTCTAGTTCTTCTAGGCCTCTGTCTAAGAGTTCTTACTTTCCGGCTGACGCCTTTCTCAAGTGTATCAGACGCTTCACTTGTTAGGCTTGTTATCTCTTTTGTTTTAGGGCATCTCCAGTTCATCCTTTCTAATATAATTGAGTTAGTTCATGTACATGAAACAAGAAACTAGGGAGTAGTGAAAAAGCTCAACAGGTTGAGAAGAGATTTCTTTTGGCAGGAAACAAAGAGAAAAAAGGTTATAACTTCGTGAAGTGGGATTCAGAGTCTCAGCAAGAAACAAGGGGGTTTGGGCATAAAAAATCTCAATCTGCACAATAGAAGTATGCTTCAAAAATGGATATGGAGACTTCATCAAAAAAAATGGATATGGAGATTCAGCGGTGAAGACACAATGCCCTGTGGAGAGGATTCATATCCCAAAAATAAGGCTTAATGAATCAGTGGATCACCAGACATGTACTTTGCAGTTCTGGTTGTGACGGGTGGAAGACTATCAGAAAATTATGGCCTAACTATAGAGTTGGGAATGGAGTAAAGATAATATTTTAGACTGACCTTTGGTTAGGATAGGCTACCCTAAAGGATCAATTCCCTGATCTTAAGAATTAACATCTTAATCCTCCGAAAAGATGATGCAATCTCACAGATACGGAGTGCCCAAGGCTGGAACCTGATCTTCAGGAGGGCCCTATATGATTAGGAAATTGACGGAGTCTCAAGCATGTTACAAGATCTGAACTGTGTCAATCTTGTCTCTTTCTGATTTCAAATAGGTTTCGGACCAAGACTGCAAGACGTCAAGTTTTCTATGATACGTTGAATAATTCAAAATAACTTCACTCAATTTCTCACTTCCAAATAAATTTGCTTATAGGAGCAATCCCGAAGAGACAATGGAATTGCAAAGACAAGTAGAGAAGTAGCTTGATTAAGGATTTGTGAGAGAAAGCATGAGTCCATGCTTTGTACCCGTGATATTGGTACCAAAAGGAGGAGGAAGAAGAGTTGTTGGACAAGAGAAGGAAGATCAATGGAGGAGAAAGAGAGGGAGGGTGGTGGAAGAAGTTTGAAATCAAAATGATGTGTATATTTTTTCCAGAGAACCAAATTAATGTGTGAAAAAAAGAACAAAAATAGGTATAGTGCATGAATTTGATGAGCTAACATCCCACGTTAAAAGTCACTAGACAAGATTTATTTTTAAAGAAAAATGCATAAAAATACGTGTTATTCAAAAGTGGTGTGGTTACTTTGGCATCATTAATAGAATCAACAAGGCATGGAAGTTGGTTGGCGTAGGTCCGAATCTTCTTCCTAATTAACAAAGCATATGTTGTTAGGAAAACATTACATATAAACTAAGTATCTAGGGTCTCCGATCCAAGGAAATATTGAGATTGATAATGATGTCACACATCGTATTAGTGTGGCATGAATTTAGTAGAGGCTTGCATCCGGCGTTTTGTGTGACAAGATGGTGCCCTCAAAGTTTAAAGGTAAGTTTTATAGAGGAGTGGTTAGACCGGCTTTGTTGTATGGGGCGGAGTGTTGGCCAATCAAGAACTCCCATGGTCAAAAGATGCAAGTGACAAAAATGAGGATGTTGAGATGGATGTGTGGGCATACTAGGAGTGATGGCATTAGGAATGAGGATATCCGGGATAGTGGGAATGACCTTTGTGGTGGACAAAATGCTGGAAGGGAGACTAATATGGTTTGGGCATGTGGAGGGGAGATGTGCGGATGCCTTAGTTAGGAGGTGCGAGGGGATGGATATAGTGGGTTTGAGGAGAGTCAGAGGTAGGTTGTAGAAGTATTGGGGAGAGGGGAATAGGCATGATCTGACGCATCTACAACTTACCGAGGACATGACCTTAGATAGGATGTATAAAGGTCGCGTATAAGGGTAGAAGGTTTGTAGGTAGTTGAGGGGTGTTCTTATTCCTTGCCTATTTTGGTCTTTGGTTGGGTGGAGCTACAAGTCAGTCATAGTATTAGCTTTTGGTTTCAAGTTTCTGATTATAATTTGTGATTTACTATGTTTAGGTATCTGCACCTTGTTATTGATGTTACGATTTCTTGCATATATGTGCTGCACAACTTTGCTATTAGTTGTTATGTTTTTCTTTTGATTACTTCTTTGATTTGCTTGAGCTAGAGGTCTTTTGGAAACAGTCTCTCTAACTCTAAGAGGTAGTGGTAAGGTCTGCATACACTCTACCCTCCCCTGACGGCCTGACCCCACTTTATGAGAATTCACTGTTGTTGTTGTTGTTGTATCTATCTTACCTTTATGAGGACATCATTTATTTCGGGTATTAGACAGGCAAGACATGGTGCAACTTTAGATTACCGAAGACATGAACTTAAATAGGAGGGTGTGGAGGTAGCGTACCAGGGTAGAATGTCTGTTGGTATGGAGTGTTGTCTTGATTTTCGGGAGTGGCCGTATTCTCATAATGTCTTGCTTTTGATTCCACCAACACTTGTTAATTGTGTTTAGGTTATTGCATTATTCTGTGGTGTGGTTGTTACTGTTTCCTTATTAGTTTCTTCGTTTCTCCACTACCGTTTTCCTTTTTCATACCTATTTTGATATGTTGTACTCGAGCCGAGGGTCCTCCAGAAACAACCTCTTTACCTCCACGAGGTAGGGGTATGTTCTGTGTACACTCTACCATCCCAAACCTCACTTGTGGGATTTCACTGGGTATGTCATTGTTGTGTCCAATTTTTATTTAAAAGTTAGGTACTCTAAAGATCATATTTCAAATCCAGTCAATTTTGAAATAAAAGAGATAATAGTTCCCCACTTGAACTTATTAATACATCAATGTATAATTGATAGTACTAATTAAAAATATTCTGTCAAAAAGATGGGATTGACTAACTTGGACTAAGAAAAGCATACATGCACTCACATACGCAAACTATATATACCATCACTCTCATCATATTATTTTAGAATTCTCATGATGAAGCCAACCTGTGTTGCTCAAACTAAAGGTGCGGGTTTCCGCTACGGATCTGCATCTAGAGGTCAGATTCGGCAAAAAGTATATTTAAGATTTGGGAGTACGAATCCAAGTATGGATGCTAGGATTCGATTAACAAAATTCAAAATTATAAAAATAAAGCTATAAAGATATTCTAAACTTTGAGAGATATTTTGTGGAAAACTTACATTTAGGTTGTAGAATTCAATCTTCCATTTTGATAATTTCTCAAGTTGTAGGTAGTAGGTACATGCACTAGCATCAACAACTAAAGTTCTAAATATTCTCTAAGATGGACATATTTCTTCCACTCTCCTATCATGTATTGTACACAACAAAATAGCAAACCAAATATGGAAATCATATTATAGTAGAACAAATACAATTAAAAAACCTAGACTTAAAGTGAAAGAGAACTTATCTTTTATCCAAGAACAAGAATGACATAACTCTTGAAATTGTATCATGCAATTTGAATATGAAAATAAGATAACTTAAACAAAGTGAAAGTGTGAAACTAGAAATCTTAAAATTTAAGACATAAATGGACATTCAGTTCAGCCACAACTTATCTATTCCAAAACTTGTTGTTCAATACAGAAAGTAGAAATTTATTCTTTACCGAAACTATGAACATTTGAACTTAATTTACAAAAATCGACAAAGCATAGTCAAATTAGCTATTCCTTGTTTAATATCTTCAACATTTTCCAAATCTTGAAATTCTTCTCCGAAGATCACTCTTTCTAATTGAGGTTCATCTATTGATAGTTCAATTAAATAGTGGGTCGTCTCATCAATATCAGAAAAATCTCCACCTAAAGCAACATTAAATTAAAATGAATAGATATATTGAAAGGTTTCATGAAAAGGAAAAAGAAATCATGCAAAATAAATAGTTGAGGAAAATATCTAACAAAGAAAATGTAGATATACCCATATTCCAATACTTGTTTGGTCCACTTACATATTTTTCCTTCTTACGAGAGAGCAACTATTACAAAAGCTAAAGCGTCGGCTATTGAAGTTGCTATGTAATTTGTTTCTCTTGATGTTGTGCATCAAAGTATAAATGCTCTAATTCCTTCCACATCAAGAGGAAAAAGTTGGTTGAGTAAGCAACTTGTAAGCTAAGTTTTGCAAGGGTGGAACCGAGACATCATGATTTGCCCACCAAGAAAGAGGATCATCATACATCATAGCCTCAATCACATGAAGCTCACTAAAATAACCACTCCACTACAAAATGCTTCTTACTCCAAAGGAACTTATTTTATTTCATTTCATTTGAATCTTTAAAGTATCTTTGAAAGCATTCAGTCCTTATCTAATGAAATATCTCCATCTTATTTGGATCTACACTTCAAATGTCATTTTCTCCTTGAAGCCATGATTTATGACAGTATCTTGGAACCAATGAATGCGTCATACAATTCAAAGGGTATTATTTTATTCCACCTACCCATAAGAATATCTTGAATTATATCAAATAAGTTGATCAGTTGAAAATGAGAGTCGAAGAAAATGAGATTCTTCGACTGATACCATGTTAAAGAAATGAATCTTGGCCATTACTTAACCCCAAAAGTTTGCTCAAGAGGTGAGGATTGCCCAAGCAATAGAGAGAAACCACTCACCCTTTTGACCCTCGATGTGGGACTCTTCACAATGTGGATCTTGAGTGGCCAAAGTTGCTTCACATTTATGGCATTTGGGACACAATGATTGCAAAGTTAAAGAAAGTAATCTATGTGCACGAGGGGAAGGGTCTCATTTCTGGCTAGTCAATTTTTTTGATACATTTCAAGGTATTCTTGTGGCTAGGTGGAACAAAAATATTTTCCCTTTGCTTGTATGACACACTCATTGGTTTCAAAACAATATTACCAATCATTACTTCAAGGTCAAAATTGAGATTTGAAGGCTAACTCCTAAGAAGATAAGAAATGTCATTGAATTATATGATTGAATGCTTCCAACAATACTTTCAAATGAAATGAAGCAAGTCTCTTTAGAGCATTTTGTAGTGGGAGTGGTTAATTTAGTGAACCTCGTGTGATTGAGGCTATAATGTATGAGAATACTCTTTCTTGGTGGGCAAATCATGGTGTCTAGGCTCTGCTTTGCCAAACTTAGCTTACAAGATGTTTACTCAATCAACTTCTTCCTCTTTTGAGAAAGGAGTTGAACACTTATTCTTTGATTCGCAACATCAAGAGAAATAAATTAGCAATTTCAAAAGCTAAAGATTTAGTTCTTGTACACTATAATCTACTGTTGCTCTTTCACAAGAAGAAAAAATTTATTAGTTAATCGAGCAAGTATTAGGGTTTGAGTATGTCTACGTATTTTTTATTTGATAGTTTTCTCTATTATTTATTTTGCATGGTAACTCTTTCCCCTTCTCATGAAAACCTTCTAATATATCTCTTCAATGTGATTCGATGTTGCTCTAGGTGGAGATTGTTTTGATATTAATGAGACGACTAATGTTTAATTAAGCTATCGATGAACTTCAATTAGAAGGAGTGGTATTTGGAAGAAGATGATATTGAGGAAGAAAGCCAGGAGTATCTAATTTGATTATGTTTTATTAGTTAAGTTCAAATGTTCATAGTTTATGGTAAATCCTGAACTTTTACTATGTTATTGATTATTTTGTGGGATTTCACTAGGCGAGTATGTTGTTGCTGTAGTCATGTGATTAATTAATTATGAATAGCTAAGAGTTATTCCATTCCTGTTCTTGGATAAAAGGTTGATTTTATTTCACTATGTCTGATTCTTTTAATTATATTTGTTCTATTGTAATTTTCTTATAATATTTAGTTTGCTTATTTGTTGTGTACGATATATGGTTGGAGAATGGAAGAAATATGTCTATCTTGGAGTATGCCTTGAACTTACCTGCTTGTGCCTCTAACTTGAGAAATTATCAAAATGAAAGATTAAAATGTTACAACCTACATATAATTTTTCCACAAAATCTCTCAAAATTTAGAATATTTGTATAGCTCTACTTTTGTAATTTTTCTTAGTTGAATCCCATACCCTCAAATTTTTGAAAATTGAATCTTCCCGAATCTGACCTCTAGATCCGCACTCATATCGGATACCCTCACCCGAGTCGAGCAACATAGTTTCTCATTGTTGTTTGCATGCCACAACTCTGTTTTTCAATTACCCTACATTCTTTTTTATTTCTTGGACTAATTTTCATTTTCTTATGGTGCTTTTGCTAGTATAGTCGTGGCAAAGGACTTGGCAAAGAATCTGTTCTCGTGATGATGACATTTGCAGTTGATAATTTCAAGATACATACCTTCCGTGTCAAAATTGGAGAATTAAATCAGGCCTCTCTCAGCCTATTCCAAAAATTGGTATCTCTATTACCGCCAACTCATGCACACTATCTATAATGTGATCCTTTTACATGTAAATTTAGATCTACAGAGTTGACAGTCAAGTAACCTCAAATGCTTTTTTTTGCAGGGTTTCAATGAGACCTCTTACAGTAAAATATTCAATGAGGTGAGCTGATGATTCTCTTTTTCTTTTTCTCAGTAATGAATAGTTGGCTGATTTGGAGACATTTTTCTGTGCCACAAAGGAGTTAATAATACTGCTAGACTGAGAGTTCGGTGGATGAAATCTTCATTCTCTGTTCATAAACATTATAATTAACTGTTGCGACAAAGTTAAATTGGAATAGGAATTCCGGCTTCCTTAAATCTTATACTTCTTAAGTTGGAAAAAAGGAGGCTTAATCAAAACCTCATTTTCGCTAAGTTGCCCTTCTAGTTCTTTTGGCTTATTCAATTTAGTTGTTGACATCTAAATCTATATATGTTGTGCAGATGACCTTGGAGTTGCCAATGACCGAGTCAAAGATTTTTGAGCTGCGTCAATTAGTTGGCAATATGGTTACACATTCATAGCACCTGAAGACACATTGTGTATGCTGATGACCGAGTCAATGTGAGGTGAGCTGCATGGTTATTGTTCATATTCCCCGGTTAGACCATTCCCTTCAGCCTGGAGGGTATTGAGTATATTATTTTGGTGATTAGTTTTATCCAGCGACTGTTGAATCAAAGCTTGCGACTCTTCTATTGATTTTTCACTAATTAATCTGTTCCAGACACTTGAAGGAATTTTCAAATTGGCGTTTTGTTCTTTTCCTCGTTATATTACATTGTAAGATCACCTTGATATATACAACAGCAACAACACCTTGATATATAAATTAAACGCAGCAAATGTTAGATTATTGACTAATTTGTGTCTGGTTCGTGTTCAAACAAACAATAGATAAGAGATGACGAAGAAAGCACAAGAATTGGAAGTTTGGAACTTTTTATTGCCTGGAAATAGAGACAGCTATTTTACAGTAATATTCTAGCCATTTTGGAAACCTGATTTGGGATAATGGATGAAAGCCAAAGATGACTATTTATTTATTTGATAAGTTGCAAAAAACTAAGATGACTATTTTTCTCATGGAATTCTCAAACTGTCTGAAAATCTATTTGTCCAAATGATTGAAGGTGTTGGGATGAAAATGGATGCATCTGAGGGATGTCGTTCGAGACTGAGAGTCCACCTTGCCAGACATGATTTACTGTGGTTCCATTGCCCAGTGGCCCTATAGTCGCAAAGATAATCATCTCATTGTTCAAGTATTCTGCAGATATATTTGAAACTTGAAAGCTGAGATTTGCTCTCTGCAATGATGGACTATAACTTGTTATTTGTGTTGTGTAAGCTATCATGCTGTCAGTTGAGTTATGGAAAGCAACTAATGCTTGCGATCCGACCATGCCTTGTCTTGTAGGGTTGATAGCCCATGCTACCCACCCCTTAGAATCTTGTTTAGCTCTGTATGCAATTGAAACTTTTGTGCTGGATGAATTGTAGTTCCAGTGCAGGTTTGCTTCTAAAAAGGGGAGTACTTTGCAAGTGGTGAAAGTTCTATTGGCTGGGAAAGTGTAGTTTGAACAGTTTTGAGCTGAGGTAACAAGAAAAGTTGAAGCAAGAATGCAGAATAACAGTTTTGATGTTGAGCTCGACGCCATGGGAACAAATATATTCTTTTTTCCTGTGCCAAAAATGGAACGAAATGATAAAAACACTGTAAAAGACTATTGCGCGACTGTTGAGCTGATCCAACACCAAGTTGAGAATGTAGGATGTTACTTTTTTGCAAGTTGAGGAATAAGAATGTTAATAGTTATTTTATACGAAAGGGAAGGTGAGGTTTTAAAGTCTATTATGTCAGCGGAGCGGCCCCTACTGGTAGTGATACCTCCAAAGTAAATTGAATGCTTCTTATCTGTAGTTTTTGAAGGTATGAGGCATGGGTACACTCATTGACTTGACTATGAGTTAGTTGACTTAGGACCTCTTCAAGTATGTTAAACCATCATACGCATTGCAGAAAAGTTCCAAGTCAAGCAGTGGTTTTGTCATCCTTATGACACACAACGTTTATTGTTTTTTGATTTGTGAACACACTAAATTGATAGTCAAACTGATAAGATATTTATTATCAGATTTTGATCTTTAATAGCTTGATTTTCTGTTTAACTGATAAGAAAATGTTGATATGATCATATATACACGATGTTCATAAATTAAAAATGGTAGTAAGAATAGAAGTGCAATACAAATTTCTGCATTAGTTACTTTTGTTTAATACAGAATTGTTTGAATTTCATCTAAAGACCCGTGCAATAAATTGCAGAAACAACATTAAATGTTTGTCACAATCAAATCTAAAATTCAGATGACCGAAGGTAATTACTAAGTCGTGTAGATAAGTGAAAATATGCCGCAATAGAGAGGCAGGGAGGCTAGTTTCTGTTGTCTACAGCCGAAAGTAATACTAAAATTTTAGAAAATAGGGTTAAGTAAAATATTAAAGTCATTGTTATATATTTAGGAGTAAAATAGCAATTCCAATATAATCTTATTGAATTATCAATTTAATCATAACCCAAAATCACAAAATTGAACATCGAACCAATAATTCAATAATCCAATACCAATAAATCAATATGTGTTATTTTTTTCTTGGATTTAATTGGTTAAACTAGTTTTTGTACACCTACTTAGAGCTCTACTTAGTTTTTATCCAACAACAATTGATTAAAGATGTTATGTTTAATGTTTTCAACAAACTTCCAAATTCATCTACTTAGTTTTCATCCAAACAATCAGTCTTTAACTATTGTTATCTTCAATGTTTTTGTTTGTTTGTTTGTCATCCTACATATAATCCATCTACTTATAAGAATTTAGCCGTTCGTATTGTTTCAATGTTTTTATTAGGTTTTTATTTCATCAATCTCCCTATCCCGTCTTAAAAGAGTTTTCTCGATTGGTTTTTCTTCCTTTAGCTATTCAGATGTTTTAGTTCGCTATGTTTGAAAAGTTCAAAATGTATAAACTAGTTACGAAACTTAGATGCATTTTTTTTTTTTTATAAAAAAAATGGAAGTTCATGGATCACATATGATATCTTCCTATGGTTTATTACTTTGGCAATATCTTAAGAGAAATGTTTTGAAAAGTTCCACAAATTTTGAATTAAACGTTAAAACTACTTATAAATATAGACATCCAACTCGTAATGACAACGACCCAATTGCAATGGTTTATTACTTTGGGAGGATTCTTCAGAGAAATGTTTTGAAATCTTCAAGATTTTCAATTAAATATTGAAGTTGTTTATAAATGTAGACAATGAAATATTCGATCCGTAATCGCAACGATCCAATAAATTTTCCCTCTCACTTGTCAATATCAGAAGGGGAAATTTTGTAGATGTACGAAAATAGGTCAGTAATTACGTAAAGAAATGAAAAAATTTAGTTTTCAAAAAATAAATGTACAAAAATAGGTCAATATCATTTTTTATGAGGTATTGTTCCAAAAGCTTGAGGAGCTTATATAAAGTTTGGGGTCAAACTCATAAAGTTGAATAACACTTGGACTAAAAATAAAATTAAGTAATAATTCAAGGACAAAGATAACTGTTTATAAACAAAATCAAACCAATAAAGTATTATATTTTATTCGGTTTTAATAATTGAAAAATATACTAAATTGATTTGATTTGACTTTCATAAAAAAACAAGCTCAAACTAAATCATGAACACCCCGCTAAAAATAAAAATAATCAAACAATGTAAATCCATTAGATTCGATACAAAATTTATATAAAATCCTGTGAAAGATTTGACCTCCACAAACATATAGGTCATTAGGGTAAAATTGATCATTTTAATGTAGGGATGGCACGGGGCGGTTGATCTACTAATCAACATATTTATGCATGCACATAAAATTAAAAGAAATCAATGAATGGTGATGAAACTGAATTATATGATATCCTGAGTGATAAAACTATTAATTTATAGTGTTAAATATGTAATATTAAGTACGGTAGGGTGTACATGGCTGAGTTTATTCGGGTTTTTCAAATATTAAATTAAATTATTTGTGTCGGATTTTTAAATTTATAAATCAAATCAAATTAATAAAACTTGAAGTTTTCAACCTCAGTTTTTTTCGGGGTTTTCCGGTAAAGTATATGTATTCATACAAACATATAATTAACTCGAGCTCCAAATATTTCTTTGGTCTTACTAAAATACAACTATATAAGTTGTTTTTGAAGAAAATAATACAAAATATGAGATGAATAATGACACTAAAATATTCAACAAAAAATAATAATGAAATCGCATAAAATAAATATTGCAAATTAATAAGTCATAATGAAAATGATCATAATTTAAAAGTACTAAATCATGCTAAAATAAATCTAATAAGTATTAATTACATGATTAAATAGTAAAGAAAAATTAAAATTAGATTATGTATTTTAAATGTCTAAACCAATGTAAAACCAAAATACAAATATTCAACATTATTGTCATTCTTAGTGTTGAATTAATTTTTTTTTTGTTAGCATTAGTATTGATTTAATTTTGATTTGAGTTTTATTAGAGTTACTAATATTTATGGACTATAATCTTTATTGGACCATTTAAAATTCTAAGTCTCAAAAATTTGAAATAATACGCTAAAAGATAAAATTATGAAAAAGTATAAGAAATATTTAGAAATTATATCAAAGTAATACTTTTATGTATAAAATAATTTTTTTAAAAATATATTATAATGTCGGGTTGACTTTTTTTTTTTGGTTAAAATCAAACCAACCCAAGTATAGCTGGGTTTTTTTTTTCTAATATCAAACCATTATTAGTCAAATTTTTTTCCAATTTGACTCAATTTGCGATTTAGTTCGATTTTCAATTAGATTTTATACATTCCTAATAATAAGTATCATATAATTTTCAGGTAAGGCTACATATAATTTTAGACAAATTCACAAGAAAAATATTAAATTTTTGTTTTTTTTATTTAACCCCACATAGACCTGCAATTCATCCTGCCCCACATCAATTTAGAAAAACATTATTTCAACCCCCGCACAATATAAAATCCACACCACCCCGCGATGTCTGAAACCCACATTGGTCCGCACCCTACCACCCCATTACCATCCCTATTTCAACACATCAAAAACACTATTCTAACCTAAAAAGAATGGCGTTACTGCTTCTAACGTAGCAATCTAATTAGCTGCTTCAACTATTTTAAGTGCCATTTTTCTCTACATGGAATGGATAATATTTGGGGATATGAAACTTACAGTATAGTTCAGCCAAATATATTTATCAATATGTTTAAAATATAAATATCTATACACTAATGACGTATATTATGTGTATATTATACTTAAATACAAAAATCTCTATACTTACTCGCTGTTTTGTAAATTAGATTATCCAAAGACACTGTACTGTAATTATTATAAGAAACATGTACATTCTAGGATGATTTTATTAATTTTCCTAAAAAAGTACAAAAAGTTATTTTACAGAGTAATTTTTATAACTCAATTAACTATTTAAGAAATAAACTCAAACGAAAGAAATTCATACCCCTCTATGAAACTTTGAACAAATTAGCTAAATTATTATTTTATGAAACAAAATTGACACTATATTTCAAGTTTTCAATCCTAATACAAGAAAAAAATAAGAAATGATTTTGCAACCAAATTTCAAGCATGAACGACTTTTAATAAGTTGTGATATAATATAATATTTCCATCATCTAGAATAAGACTTTTTTATTTTGGTAAGCTAGAATAGAATAAGACATTTTTAGCCAACACTAAGAAAATAGAATGTCAAAGAAGAAGAATAACTTTGGCTCACCAACAAGGATTGTGGTAGAGTGTCAAGTACTCATTCATTCTTAATCAGAAGCCTCGGGTTCAATTTCTCCTGAGTATGAAGTTGCTTTTGTAGGACAACGCTTTACCTCCAAATATAAAACATCCCGACGCGAATTCGAATTTAGTCGGACAATAAATATCGTGAGGAAAAAAACAACTTTAGCTCTGTGTCTAATAAATGAGGGAATAGTTGGAAATTTCAATGCGTCCTTCTCATATGTATTTCATTATGTTCTTCTTTGTATCTCATTACTTTTCAATTTATGTCATCATTTCAAGTTGTTGAATTTTGAAATAGTTGTTATTTAATGACTCATCTGTTAATAGTAGACTAGACTGGGTCAATACAAGTTGCTGCATTGGCAATTGAACATGTGGAAGTCAACTCAAAATTTCAACAATTGCTTTTTAATTAAATTAACAAAAATATTGACATATCTTTTTCAATGTAATATCCAACAAAAAATATAGTAATAAAATCACATACTTCATTTTCCAGTTTACCAAAACTAATAGATTCGCTAGATCAATTGTAAAACAAAAATATAATTTAAAACATGTTACAGATACACTGTATTGTGGATATTTATTTAAAGAATTTTATAATGAAGCAAGTAGCTCATGTAGACAACTTCCTAAAAGTTCTTGTAGTAACTTTCTGAAAGAAACTTAAGCAGCAAACTTATAAATAGCTCAAGCAAGTAGCTCATGTAGACAATTGTAAAAGTCTTGTAATAGCTTTCTGAAAAGTCTCGCAATAACTTTATTTCTTCATAAATATAAAGCTAAACGAATTCATTTTGTACCTCAATTTCAAGAGAAATAAACTGTCTTTAGCTCAGCTTCTTTAATTACATCTCTTATTGTCTTGTATTATTATTATTATTATTATTATTATTATTATTATTATTATTATTATTATTATTATTATTATTATTATTATTATTATTATTATTATTATTATTATTATTATTATTATTATTATTATTATTATTATTATTATTATTATTATTATTATTATTATTATTATTATTATTATTATTATTATTATTATTATTATTATTATTATTATTATTATTATTATTATTATTATTATTATTATTATTATTATTATTATTATTATTATTATTATTATTATTATTATTATTATTATTATTATTATTATTATTATTATTATTATTATTATTATTATTATTATTATTATTATTATTATTATTATTATTATTATTAT